ACAACAATAGTCAAGCAATTACTGCATTTATGCTAAACGATCAATGATAATTGAACACTTCTATATATCGTGTTACTCTTAAACTCAAGAGACATACCATTATTCACGTGATTTCTAGACGTTACACCAAATTGATAAGAACAAGCTATGATCTTTACACCTATTTTCAGTATGATTGGAACTTTTTACAAGCTGGACAATTGATCTTTGGGGGTTCATGGGGCTGACCGCTAGTTGGTATAGCATAGCAACTTCAGTGGATACAGGCTTTGTATGGCCAAACTTGCTTAGCAATTACGTCGACAAAATTTTGTTCATGTTTGGTTCGGATTAAAATTTGATTTTAATTCAAATTAAAGTCAAACAATCAATATTAACCACATCTTTTATGGATCCCACAATTTTTCAATCACACATTTCAAAAACTTCTACCTCAATATACTAAAAATTTAATTTTAATCTTCATCAAACACCCTCTTAATAAACACAAGTTAATCGTAAAAACAAGTGCATCCTTATTAATATAAAATTAGAGTCTTTGCTATATATACCATTTGGGGTACATGTTGGTTTACTCGGCCCCACCCCCTCCCTCACATAGGAGTCGGGTCCTACGCATTTATTGGATGTGGGACCCGACCCCCATGTGAGGGAGGAGGTAGGGTTAGGTAAACCAAAGTGTATCCCAAATGGTACAAATAGCATAATTCATAAAATTAACAACGCAAACCAAACTAAATTTATAAAAAATACGAGATTGAATCAGTACTTGACAACGTTGAAATTTTAGGTGTATTTGAAAATTTGCAAAACTCTATATATGTTGAATATTAATTAATTTTAGACATGATAAAATAATTCTTTTATTAAACTAATTAACCAAATATTTATACTTGACGATCATATAAAGTCAATTAAGTTCACATCATGGTTTTGGTTTGTTATTCTTGTAATTAGGGTCCTCAATTTTCATTCATTATTGTGTTCAATTTTTTGCATTTTTTTCTTCAACTTTTTATTAATTATCATATCTTCTCTGTATAAAATAACTTATTTGCTCCTTATATTTTTAAAAAAGTAAACGAATAAATACAAAAGTCTGACAAAATATTTGCATCTCATTTCAAAGCATGATAATTGAACATTTGGACAAAAATCATCACCCCACGACAAGATGTGCTAATTAATTGAAGATTTAGAATATGAATACAGCGAGAAAAAAATTGGAAATATAAGCGCGACAATAAACAAAGATTGAAACCTTCTTCAATTGAAATGTGACGCGACAAAACAAAAACTACATAATAAATATAATTATCCTTCGATTAATTAATAAAGATATATGGGCGAAGTCAACGCAAACAAGCCGGTGCAAACCGTGCAATGCACTAGCACTCAACTCAATAATTAACGGTTCAAGGGCCCATATGTAGTGTTTCTATTTCTTTCTATAAAATTATTTGTATCATGCTCAAAGTTGAAAAAAGTACACGTTCATTTTTTATTTGGTATGCTCACACAAAAGAATTTCTTGGGTTGGAAGACGTCTTTTATATTTTTTTCGCATCACTTTTCTTTTCTTTTCTTTTTTTCTTTTTTGAAAAAAACGAGGAAAAATTAAATTTTAATGAAATGTACGTCATCCTAATATCAAAATGGAAAATACTATGTAAAATGCCTTGAAAAATTCTCCAAATAGACCAATATTCTCGAAAAGAGTGGAATTTTATCAATTTTGAATTGATTTATTATCAAATACATGAAATTTGTAACTTAATTTGATTTTTAGTATTGAATTCATATGAATGGTAAATTAATTTTTTTTATTTTTCTGCATGGCATGAATTAATATTTTTTAATAGAAATCCAAGGTATTGTTAACAAAGTAGTAATAAAGAATATGAGAACAAAAGTATCTACTGAATATTTCTCATATATCTACACATTTTATATATGGTAGATAAAATAATGTATTTTTATATCAATAATGATATAAAATGACCTCCTTTCTTTATTTCAGGATTATAACTTATAATTCTTGCTTTAACTATCATCCCCAGTGGCCTAATTTAAAATTTTAGGTAGAAACATTACTGTATAATCACTATAGGATCAACATTGTGATTTATACAAAAGCGATTGTTGTACTAAAACTTGAGAAATCAATTTAGTCCTAGACACATTTCAATCGTGATCCTTAGATTATATGCATTCGCTATCATCATTGGGGCATATTTTAAAATTTTAGGTAAAAACGTTATTGTATTGTAGAAGCAACATTATGATTTATACGTTACACATCTAATCTGAGAGAACAAAAATAAAAATAAAAAATTGTTGTGTAACCCAAAACAATTACATGCGGTTTGTGTTGGATCTCGAACCTTTTTCTTTTTGTTGCATGGAAATACAGCTGCATCTTCAACTGGCCTCTTGCCCTTGTCCTCCGTGTAGTTCTTCATCCCCATACATTCGGAATTTGGGTGCGCGACATTTGCAATAGGTAGACTGTTGTCGAAAACTTTTTGATTTTGATGTTGTATTAATGGAATGGGTGATGCGACGAGGAGGGGTGTTAACGAGTTCATTCTTAGGTTCAATAATCTCACAAATCTTGTCTCAACGCCTACTTGCTGGGTTTTGATGGAACCCATAGACAAATGGCGTTTTTGGGCCACCGCGACTAGATTATCTTCTACGTTTTGTCGTAGGGAAAAATTCATAAATAAGNCCACCATCACGACAACATCCAGATCCGCCACGACCACCATTTGCAAAAATATCCAACCCAAATGATAATGATTCAGGTATGCTCCCATTATCGTTCTCGGCTCCAATATTATTCCCATTATTATCATTATAAACCGTACAAGCACCAGATAATCCATTACTATTCGCAGTCTGACTTACACTAGAGGCTCCAAGACTGACGCAATTATCCAGTGTAGACCCAAAATCCGCCTTCCACTTGAGCAAAATACCTTCATCAATCCCGAGCTCACCGCTCGGCAATTCAATTCTGAGAAGCTTAATTTCATTAAAATTCTTCAAGACTTGAGTAGGGGAATTGGCGAGTCACGATGTTCCGGTCAGAATCCAGGTTCAAATCTTCTGAATTCGATGAAATTGAGTGGCAGTGAGTCGAGGAAGTAATAAGCTGGGTCAATGACTAAAGTGGCTTAAAGAGACCAGAGACGATGAAGCGAAAAAGAGAGGATACAGGGTTGCGGGACTTATAGGTGGCAGAAGAGCCAGACGAGGTGGTGGAGGAGGAGGCGGGATCATCTTCGGAGATGACGCAGTCAACTCGAACAATGACATTATCCACCTGCGGAACGAGCGAGTGGAATCTTCTAGAAACCACGCACCATCGTCCCAGAGAGAGAGAGGGGGGGAGGTGAGAGGGAGGAGAGGGAAATTGAGTGATAAATTAGGGTTAGGTTTTATTATATAGTACTTGATTTTTGAATGATAAAATTTAGTCCCTGATTTTTGAATTCCAAACTTTAAGCACCTGATTTTTTATAATTTCCCTTTGTCGTACCCTTACAGAGCCCATATATGCCATATTTTTTTCAGCAGCTATGGTACAAGTTTTCAGAAAAAGAGGATTGCGGTGTTTGAGAAAGCAGGTGGTGGTGTTACTCCTCGAACAAGGGCTTTATACTATTGGTAAAAGCACTAATCAATGGAAAATCAGAATCAAATGTTGGATTTGTATACATTTTCAGAAAATATATATCTAAGGTATATCTGTAAATGATCGATTTGGTGGCTAGTTTTAGGGTTCTTTCTTAGATGGTCATTTCAGCGAGAGATGATTTGGGCGGATAACTTGGTTGAAAATAAGAAATAACACCATTTTAGGGATTTGGTGGTTAATATTTTGATTTTAAGGCGTGTTTGTTGAAAACTAATTTAATGACCAGCCTGTATGATTCGTTTATCTTTTCACATTTCTATTTTACTTTACAAAAAGCAATATCTATGGTTAAAAAAGGTTGAAAGTATATTTTAAATATTTATTAGAATATAGGTGTGAGGTAGAATTTCCACTATAATTTTTTTAAACAGGAATTGCCCTTGATAAAATTGATTTAAATCAGATTTAAACCGGTGATTCATTCCCAAACCTTTCCATTTACCTTTCATTAATCAAATGTCAAACCAAATTTTCTAAAACCCTCAATTCATGCGTGTAAATTATGGAGATTAATTTATCAATAAATGTGAAGTTTAATGTTATTAATAAAAAATTAAGGGCATTTTTGACAAAACAAAAAAATATGTAGGGGCAACAGTATTGAGAACCTGTCTGGCAAAACTAATAATCAAAATTCCTACCGTTTGTGCCGCACATTTTGACTTCTTTGTAAGAGGGTGGGTCCCATTTTTTAAATATTAACGGTCAAAAAATCAATGTTTTCCTGATTTTTAGTTTTGCCAGACAGGTTCTGAGTAAATGTTTCCATGATCCACGGTTTCAAACTGGAGATAAGATAGAACCGAATATTTGGCTTCAGCTTAGCTGCTTAGTGAATGTCCTTGTGATGAATGAATTATCCTCTCTTCTATCATTATCACTTCCATTTTGATTCGTTCATAGAGATATGGCTATTGATTGAAAATTTCGCTTAGATATCACAACGATAGTCATAGTAGTTCTCAAAACCGTCTTTTAGCTAGACATTATGTTAATGATGCATTTGGACGGCCCCTCCATCCTTCGGAGGTGGAAGAAGGGATACTACCAATTTCTCGTTATACATTAGGGTCTTGGATTGCCGAAAGATGGTAGTAAGAAATATTAGTATTTAACCATCCTACAAATTGAAGAATTAACCAAGTCAATAAATGGATTAACACAAAAAACTACAATGAAATCGACAAAAGAAGAATGGAAACTAAAATGAACAAATAATCCCCTTTCTATTCGGCTCAGAGATTCAATCCACAACACCACAAATCATCCTTCGGAGGTGGAAGAAGGGATACTACCAATTTCTCGTTATACATTAGGGTCTTGGATTGCCGAAAGATGGTAGTAAGAAATATTAGTATTTAACCATCCTACAAATTGAAGAATTAACCAAGTCAATAAGTGGATTAACACAAAAAACTACAATGAAATCGACAAAAGAAGAATGGAAACTAAAATGAACAAATAATCCCCTTCTATTCGGCTCAGAGATTCAATCCACAACACTACAAAGGGGTACACCAAAGGTTGGAGATAACAGTAGAATCTCAGAGGCACACTAAGGCTGAAGAAGATTGCACACAAAGGCAGAGAATAGTTTTCAGCTTCTTCCAACTGAGAGCACAAAGCAAAGTATTTTGGTGTGTTGAAAACCGAGGCTAGAGAACCCATTTTATAGGTAGAAAGTAGAACCGAATTTCCAAGAGTTTCTCACGTAGATAGACTCCTCAAGATATGAAATTAGTTATCAAAGATAGAGATACAGAGGATAAGGATACAAAGTGCATCCAATATGTTCTTCAAGGTTATCTTTCTTCAATCCTGGGCTTATAGCCTATGAAGTTAATGGGCCACTGTTTTTCATCATTGCCTCGGGGTTATTTGGACATCACTAAAATACCCAACAAGAAATATATTGAAGTATATCAATAAGTGCTTTCTTTCCTCAAGAAAGACTCTGCAAGGGATTTGGTTACAGTTTTTCATTTTTCCTTCTCATGGATGACTAGCTAGAAACACCCCGGCAGCAGTTTTCTGCTCTACTGGATTTTGAATACTTCCATTTCCCAAATTTTAAACACATTACTCATTGCTTAACTAGTAAAACGTTTGGCAGTTTGGCTAAGATTAAAAGACGATAAAAAGCTTTTTATTGGGATTTGATGCTACCAAAAATCGCACCTGATGAATTCCGAGCTTGACAACTGAGAATGAGCATGATTGAGATCTTTAGGTACTTGAAACAAAGGCGTCGAGATGTATCCTCGTCTCCGATACTTAAGTCAGAAAGAGAATTTTGCGAAAAGATAAGTGCTGAAATTATATGAAAAAAGACATGCCTGAATATTAATGGTTTCATATTTATAGAAGTAGGTGGTGCAATCCTATCAGGACTTGGCATCTTCACTTTTAGGAATTATAATTGTGATAAGTGTTGGACCACAATCAGAAGTCTAATCCTACATTAACTGCGGTATCTTTCAAGATAGACATCTTATGGACATAGGATTCTTGAATTCAAGTAACTGGATAGGGTTAGAGTTCTTAAGAGGGGGAATCTATCCGTGCCTGAGCATGAATAGTTTTGGAAATTTGGCCAAGGGAAATGCTCGAGGACTCAATCTGCTCGAGGATGAATAAAGTAAAATCGAGTCATCGGAACTCCTCGATACATTGATCCTCAAGCACCTTGGTCCCACAATTGCCAAAAAGGAGTATTAGAGTCCTCGTGCTCGAGGTATATCTTTGTGACCATATCAGGATTCAAATTATTTTGATTCATACGAGCATTTAGCCCCTGTTTGGCCCCCATTATATTACATTCCATTACATTAATTTTTTCTCTCTCTTCATCTCAACCATACATTCATCAAATAAAATAATAATACACACAAATCAAAAACTTTTCAACCACACATCTCCCATCAATCACTATTCTAAAAATTATTTACCCCC